TCTCTCTCTCTCTCTCTGCGCACTTTCTATACCTCCGGGACATTTCCACTGAGTTAAAAAAAATGTCCTCCCCCCTTTATTATTTTTATATTCGTGTCTCCTCGCGCGTGTGAGAACTCTTCGGTATATTCCTCTCTACATTATTATATATAATAACGGTTAAAAATCACGGTCCTCTAAACCGGACGTAGGCGCGGTTGGTGTACGCGAGATATGACCATTAATAATCGGATTCGAATGTTTTCGTTTACGCACTTCGTTTCTATTTTATTTAATCGTCCCAGCGCGTTCGGTGTCGCTGAGCGTCGCTGGGTGAGTAGTTTGCCCCTCCCTTCCCCCCCTCCCTCCCTCCCTCCCCCCGGGTTGAATGATATCGAGATTGCTTTACCCCGAAGGACAATCGACATAGGTCCTCTCTTAATCGGTAACGGGCGGGACCCCGTAGGATTATCGTCTTAACGTACGGCTCTACTACGTCGCTCCCGTCATGGTCGTGCGAAACTTATGTATCCTGAGCTGATGCTTATAACAGCCTTCTTTTGTAGATGGATGCCCAGCTACTAGAATTGACTTAAACTCCTCTAATGCGGATTTCACATGATGATGATGATCCTCGTTGTGCTGCGGCGGTTGGTCTTCGGTGATGATCGCGTTGTCGTCGTCATTGTCGTCGTCGTCGTTGTCGTCGTCATCGTCGTAGTAGCAGTCGCAGTCGCAGTCGCGTTGTCATGGCCGTAGTCTCTTCGTCGTCGTCTTTGTCGTCGTGTTGATACGCGGTCTTCTATAATAGATAAAAGCCAGTACCAAAATCTAGTCACACAGGCGATATCTAGGTTCCTCTTCCTCTGACGTCGGTACTCTTCGGGTGTCACCCGTCGGTCTCTCGCGTAGCCTGGTCTCGCTTTCTCTCTCACTTCGTAGATCGTGTCTTTTATCATATTTGATCCGTTCTCGTAAGCGCAAAGTTGATGCCGTTGTTGCTGCTGCTGCTGCTGCTGCTGCTGCTGCTACTGCTGCTGCTGCTGCTGCTGCTGCTGCTGCTGCTGCTCCTGCTCCTGCTCCTGCTCCTGCTCCTGCTCTGTCGCCGTCATCTACTACATCCGTTCAGAGCGCTTGAGCCACCCGTGACATTCTCCTCCTCCTCCTCTCGGTCGCGTACTCTCTCAAAGTCGACGTGATCGCAACGATCGCGATCTCGCGAGTCGTTTCTCGCGTGCCGATAGCTTCGATCGTCGGACATGTTCGCGGCGCAACTGCATTAACGTATCCGAACCGTTTGTACGATAGTCTCGGGTCTACCACGGACCCTACCACGGCTCCACCACGATCGCTTCTTCAACAGGCGCTTTCCAAGTGCGCGCTCTGCCTCCTCCTCGCCTGTCTCTGCCGGAACTGATGGAACTCCGCCTTCATAGCCTGTACCCTAGCCTCTATGTTGTCCCTGCTGTACCTCGGCGCCTGATGATGCACCGTGTGATGCACTTGGTGAATATGGGGAACGTGAATAGCGTGGATCTGATGCACCGGCGGTCTCTCCTCCCTCGTGGGTGTGGAGGCCGATGTGGGCGTCGGCGTGCACGACACCGGATCGAACTCGTAGTGGCCGTCGACGCTGCCGGCGTCCACGGCGTTCTGTATGTGCGTGTGCGCCACCTTGGTCGGATCCTGGAGCTCGAGCCAACGACCCACCAAGGGCGGCGGAGGTGGCCTGTAGGGCGGCGGACGCCATTCGGCGACCGTGCTGCCGCTCCTCGAGCTCTGGTTCTGCTGCGAGGTGTTCTTACTGCCGAAGCCGGAGCTGCTCGACCTGCTCTCCGGTGAGGTCTCAAGATCAGGCGATGCTGCGAGCTCCGGCGCCGATCTGGCGTGCCGAGCGTGCCTCGGCGGTAGTCTCGCTCTGGGTCGTCCAGCCGGCTGCGGCGGTGAAGACGTGGCCAACGGCTGGACCGGCACGAATCGCCTGGACTCGGCGTGGATCGCCTTGAGCGACGGTAGCTCTTGACTGTACCGCTGGTGCACGCTCCGTAGCTGAAGATAGCCGGGTGGCGTCGGGAAAGAACGTTCGCCGGAGGATGGCTGCTTGACGGAGCTGAGATCGCTGAAGTACAGGGGGGTCCAGGGGACTTGGGCTCCGCTCGGCGAACTGGCCAGGAATCTGGGCGACGAGATGGCGCAGACGGTGGGTTGTATCCTCGCGAGGGAGTTGACGGCGCCGTGATGGTGTACCGACGGCAATGGGCCGATGGACACGCCGCTGCCGTCGGATCTCAGGCTGAGCTGGCTGGTGCCGACCAGCGGGCGCCGCCAGGAGGACTTGAGCCGTTGCTTCGGCAGGAAGCCACCGTCGTCGCTGCTGGACGCGTCCAGGATGCTGTTGTTGGCCGAGCTGAGGACCGAGTCCGCCACGACGAAGCGGCCGTCGGCCGCGCGGGAGATCTTACCTAGCGGACGACCGCGGCACGAGTCCGGGGTATCCGGGTTGAGGATCTCCCGCAGGAGGCTTAAACCTGGTACTCGGCTTTTTCTAGGTCTACGGGTAGGACAGAAGGAGCGTTAGAGCGATCGCGGCGGTGGCGGCCGGCGGCTGCGGCCCGATCGAGCTCGTCGGAGGAAGTCACGGCGTGTTGGATCCGCCGTGATGCGTAGCGCGAGTACCGACATTTCTCGCTCGAGCCGTTGCATCGAGCCGATCGAAGTGCGCGCGAAAGCGAACGTTGCACCGCGACGTGACGCGCGGGGCTGCTGGAGAATTTGGTCTCCTTTGCGTCAAGTGTTAAGTGTGTACCCGATCCGGCAAAGTCGAGAATTTTCGGTACTCGCTCGGTACTGTACGCGCGGATCTTTCTCTGCGAGAGAAAGTACATAACTCGCTCTGGCACACACGAGCGCGAGTCTGAGATGGAGTCGTTCAGCGAGCCTGCTGGACGACACTTTGTGGCGACTGACTCCTTCCTCCGACGCGATCCATCGGCCGCTCGGTACAGCAAGTACGTGCAACACGACGCAAAAGACACGCAACGTTAACGAACAAAAAGGTTAAAAAAAAAATACAACAGTTCTAGATAACAAGGTAACGTAAGGCCAATGTTCGAGTTAACTGGCAAGATAATTATATCGATATATAATCAATTACTTGTATATACGTATAATAACGAATAACGGATGCAGGCAGGGAAGGCATGCGGCATGCGCATTCCGGTGCACGAGTGGTCGGGCGTGACGTGGGTTGTGGGTGGGTAGGCGTCGGCAGTGAGTGGATCTTAATTTTTCTCTCTTTAAGAACTTGGAAAAAAAAGTGAATCTTATATTATCTCTGTCTTATGTATCTTAGTGTTCTCTTTTCTCTTTTTCTTTTTTGCATCTTTTTTTTCTTTTTTCTTTTTTCTTTTTTTTTTTTGTCTTTTCCTCTAGCTCGAACAAAATTTCGTTCCGTTCTCATAGATCCCGTTTCTTTTTGCGCGACTTTTTGTACTTCTTTCGACTTTGATATCAGTGAATAGCAATCGTGGATTTAGGTGCTCCGAAACTCGTCACCTTTTCTCCTCCTTCGGGTCCGGCAGCAAGGAAAGAATGGGGGAGAGAGAATGTTGTAACACAACGATTACATTCACAAAAAACAATATCGTGGCGGTAATGATAAGAAATATAACGCTAAATAATCGAACGTTACTTCTAGGCGGTGGTGTTAGGGAGCAAATAGATAATGTGTTGTACAAAGAGGTGTCGGCGAAGACACGGTCATCTCTCACCGTCGAGGTGCGTCGATCGACATACGTGTTCGTCGCGGACAGCAGAAAGGAATATCGCAAATATCGTTTCATCGGAGTCTCTCGGTGGAGTCTTGTGACGGATCGCGGTAACAAAGACACGGTAAAAATGGGTGAAGGGACGAGACACAAATGTGTACGAATGACCGGTCGAGCGCTTCGCAGCGAGAAGAGAAGTTGCGTCGCAACGGATCGATGCAGGATAATACCCGATGTCACATTCGCGCCTCGGCGAGAGCGATCCGAGTGAGCGAAAGCCGAGGGAGAACGCGAAGCTTCGTCGCGTGAAAATTCGGCCGAGCCGTTGTGATGCAGCGGTCGGGCACAGCTCTTCCACCCCGAGAAGCACTCGATTTCGTGTCAAGAAAGTCAAGAGGTAGGCATGTGTGGCACACACAGCGGGATAAATTAATAAGAGTGTGATACGCGCGTCGGCGTGAAAATCAAGTGGCGATAACAAATCGGATTTTGGGATCTGAGGACAGCTTTCGGGAGAGGACGGGGGAGGGGCTTTCGGAGAAAAACGTGTGTGATACGCGTCGATGGCTCGATTATCCGAGACTGGGCAATGCAACGAAGCATCATGGACGATTAACAGGTGGAGAGAGAGACGACAAATGGTGGATGTATACACGTGGGGGATGCAGGTATTTCGCGCGGCCGCAACGAGCGCGGCTTACCTATCTCCGCTTGCTTATTGCCGAGTGTTCGCGTGTAAGCGTGAGCGTGTCTGTTTATTGGTCGTCTAGAATCGACAGACTGGAAACAATCAAATAACACAAGAAGCTTGAATTAGAGTTTCCGACTGGCCGTGCGCGCCGCAACAATCGTGGTGCGTCGGTTCACGCGTTGTTGAAAACTGTGTGTGTGTGTGTGTGTACGTGTGTGTTGCGTGTACTTTTATGTTGTGTATGTGTGTGTTTGTATGCGTGTGCGTATGCGTGCGTGACACGCGCGTTAATGAATCAAAGTTTCATTTGGTTCTCCCCTCTGACAAACGTTCTTTCGTCCCGAGTGATTCGTCGACCGTTTGTTATCGGGAATATGGAATATTGCTTTTTTCGAGTATGATGCAATTGAGATTGCATACTTGTGTCGCTAATGTCGTAATGTTTTTATATGGGCTATATTTATGTTTATGTATGTGTGCACGCGTGATATGCGCGCACGTGTATGTGTGTAATGTATGAAAAAACAAAGAAACGCACACAATATTGCGAGAGCAGCAATAGTTGTAAGAGATTAATACCGTGATACGATAAGATGAAATGTGATTAGTTGCGTGTAGCTGTACAGTAAGCCCGGTGTTGGTGAACTATGTTCGAGGAAGAACCTTTCCGAGTTCCAACGGTTACTGATATTAGCCTGTCTTTAATTAGTTTAGAGAGACGATGTGCGAATATAACGCGGTTATTGAACAATGTACACCAAACCGGGGCTAAACGGTCCAGAAGTTTGTAGCAAGCTACTGGATGATTTCTGCTGACTGTAAAATAAGTATTTCGAAGGATATACGATCGTCTCGTAGCTCATGTGAATTTCGAGAAAAATGAAGAGAAAAACACAGCTACAAAATTATGAAAATGCATCACCAGTAACTTCCCGCTCTGTTTGTAAAATAAGTAGTTTCATAGTTTAACGCTGAGAAGAATACATCCAAGAAAGAGAAGTGTCTGTTGCGCGATACAAATATGCGTGTGAGGAAAACAAAGAAGAAAATAGCATATCTGAGGAAATTTGACGTGATTATCGTAATGGGAGATGTAAAGTATATAATATCCGTAAAAATTATTTCAAAACAATTATTTCGAATAAATAATATGCATCGAGATAGATGAGCTTGAACGTTTGCCAGACACACTTAACACATCGAGTCGCTGTTTATCAGTTTGTCAACGATTAATTGAATAATGATAAGTGAAAGCGGCGTTAAAATGTGAGAGACACTAAAATCAAATGAAATATTAATGATTCGTTCAATATTAGTGAGTGAGTGAGAGAGAGAGAGAGAGAGAGAGAGAGAGAGAGAGAGAGAAAGAGAGAGAGAGAGAGTGAGTAAAATAAGTTAATGTACCTTTTTCAATGTCATATTTGTGATAATAATCTGAAAAGATAATAACAGTTGAAACACGAAGAGCTGAAAATATTTATGAAAGGAAACCGACAAGTATGTGAGAGATACTTTGAAGGATTGCAATCGTGAGCACTGCAAAAGCGAAGGAAATACGCAAATGATAAGTGTCAGTCGATACAGAAATAATTTCACAATATTAAGATGAATCGAAGAATGTGAATGCAAATGTGTAGCGAAAGATACAATATAACGATAAAAATATTGAGCATGTAATACGAAGTGAGAAACTTCGAAAATTTGTAAAGAAGATATACTGAATCGTTTGAGTTATTCATCGAACGCAATATATCCGAAAGCCAATATTTAGGCAAAAATAGCACGTATTTATTTTTCTGTAAAATAACATGTATACATGTTTTCTTGCGTAAAACATTGAAAATGTTTACAGGCCGATTGTTATAGCTTTTCAGATAAATGCTGCTATCGACAACCAATCCAAATAGATACTGACGTTTTTCAGATATATACGCTCGTCATAAAAATTGTATGACAAATTAGTAGTACGATTAAATGACGTTGAAGAAGTAAAATTAAACATGAGCACAAGTTCCAATGGTAATAATGAATTGAGCGCTTCATTATTTCGTGAGAAATTCGAAGGAAAAGTTGTTTGCGGTGAAATATCACATAAAGAGTTATTCACGCAGAAGCGGTAATACGAAGAATGAACGAGGAGTCAAAGTAGGCAATAGCAATATATATGCTCATTTGATAGTGCGCGCGTGACAGTAAATTTCGAGTGAAAAGCAAACTCAATGTAGTACGCAATAAAGAGAAGAAGAGCAACAAAACGAACCAAGTTGTACAGTGATTGAAGAAAAAATATATATATATATATGAGAGCGAGAGCGCGAGAGAGAGAGAGAGAGAGAGAGAGAGAGAGATATGTTTATATATATAAGATATAGAAAGAGAGAAATAGAGAGAGATAGATACCGCGCGGCGATTAATTTCGGCTAGTCCCGGCTCTCAAAACAGTTAAAAGAAGCAACGTAGATCGGCATACTGCTGATAAGCGAATGTATGCAAAATAGTGAGAAAGTTGGCAAGTCCGCTGATCGGCAGAGAGAATGAATGAGAAATCTACTGCCTTGTCTCGATCCCCCTTATCTATGTACTCCCTAAGGCCGCCGAACGAAGGTATTAGGGTACTGACTGGATGTACTAGTGTGACTCCTAGCGGTTTTGCCTGTATTGCAGATCTCATCTACAGTCATGACAATCATCCTAAGTAGTAGACAGTAGTAGTAGGTGGTAGTGGTAGATTAGTAGGTCCTAGCAGGTAACATTGCAGAGCTGTAGTCTCGCATAGTAGTAGGTAGTAGTAGCAGTAGTGGTAGTAGTAGTAGTAGTAGTAGTAGTAGCGGTAGTACTAGTAGTAGTAGTAACGGGCATGTCCCACCGGCAATTGGCGTTCGCTCGCTCGATCGACCGAGGAGGATCGACGACGACTGACGCAAGTTTGAATCGATCTGACAGTTCGTTCGATCGATCGACGGACCGCTCGGTACAACGTGTTTATACACACACAAACACATATACGTATGCCGTCGGCGGGAACTTATTTTCGTGGTTCTCGGGAGCAACCGTGGTCTCGGGTACGTAGTAGTAGTAATAGTAGTAGTGGTG